TCGACGCACATGCGTTCCTTCCCGCCCTTCTTGGGCACGACGACGGGGTTTGCCAGCCATTCCGGGTATCGGACTTCGCGGATGACACCCGCCGCCTGTAGCTTGCGGGTTCCCTCGACGATGAAGGACTGCTTCTCTGTGGACTGTCGTCGCGCCTTCTGCTTCACCGGGCGCACATTGGGGCATACCCTCAAGTGGTGCTCGATTACTCCCTTGGGACCCGCACCAGCTGCTTGGGCTCCCAGGCGAATACCTCCTTGTTCGCGCGCAGGAATTTCACCAGTGCCTCTTCTTGTTCCGGGTCGAGGTTGGCGCCTATGGTGAAGGTGGCTCCCGAGGCCCCATCATCCTCGACCGTTACTTGCTTCGTCTTGGCCCAATCTTGCGAGAATAACTGCTTCTTCGCCGGCGCAGCCCCCTGGGCCCTAGCCGCGGCTTCGCCAGTGGGGCGAGCTGCCGCTGCGACCCTGAAGGCGAGCCTGAGGGCCGTCAAGGCCTCCTTGGCGTCTCCGGCCACGGTAGGGACACCGCTGCTCGCCGACATCTTCATGAGGTTGTAGGCGGGATGGGTTGCCGCCATGAACTGAGCCAGGGTAGGGTACCCGAGGATGGCGTTGTACGGGAGGCCGATGCGGGCGATGTCGAAGTCGATAAGCTCGGTGCGGTAGTTGTCGCGGGTGCCGAAGGTGACGGGGAGGCGGATCTGCCCTAGGGGGTTGGTGGAACCACCACCAACTCCGGAGAAGGGCTTGGCGTGATGGAGCCGGCCGAGCGGCACGTGGAGCAAGCTGAAGGCTTCCACGGAGAGCATGTTGAGGCCGGCTCCTCCGTTGATGAGGGTGGGTGTGCAGAGCATCGGGAGCGCACCCGTGCCTGCGGTGGTCGCTAGATAGTCCCCCGAGTCGAAGGTGAGGTCGGCCTTGGGTACCGCCCATCCCGGAGGAGTCCCCTGTTGTACACGTGCGGCGCCCATCTGGCGGACGAACTGCTTGACGTGGCGATCCGAGGGCGGCGCCTGTGAACCACCCAGGAGGGCCGCGACGGCGGGGGGCGCCGGTGCCGCGAAGCGCGCGATAAAAAGGTCGCGCAGCTCCTCCCAGGAGGCCACAGAGGACTCCGGCAGGTTGAGCAACCAGGCGCGCGGCACGCCAGCGAGGGCCATGGGGAGCCAGTTGGCCATGACCTGGTCGTCGCCTCCGGCCTCCCGAATGGCCTCCTCGTACGCCTGGAGGAAGGTCGCTAGATCCGCCGCGCCGAAGTAGCGAGGTGGCATCTTCGGCTTGAACTTGTGCGGCCACCGTACCTGCCGCAAGGCGGGGGTGAAGGCTCGGAGCCCCACAGCGCCCCCGCGCGGGCCTGTTGCTTCGGAAGGAGGAGCGACGCTCGCCATGGGAGCTGGATGGAGAAGCGAAGCGGGCAGACAGGCAAAGCTTCGACGCACCCCTACCTGGCGTGCCAAATGTCGGATTACGGGTTCCGGCAAACCCTTGTGAGGTTCGAACTCTGGGGTGTGCACGAAGAACACTCTCTTCCTAGCTCGCTCGCTCAACGATCCCATGGCCTAGCTCGGCGGACCCAAGGAACAAGAGACACGGGGGTTTATACTGGTTCGGGCCACCTTGCGGTGTAATACCCTACTCCAGTGTGTGGTGGATTGCCTCGAGGGGCTGAGGATGAACTAGTACAGTAGATGAACAGCCTCAGGAGGTGAGGTGTTCTTGGGCTCGATGAGCTGGTGTGTGTGAGGATGATCTGAATGGCTAGGTCCTATTTATAGTGGCCTTGGTCCTCTTCCCAAATGTTAGGCGGGAAGGGATCCCACAACGGCCAAGTTTGAAGGGGGACAACTAGTACAGGCTATCCTGACGAAAGGTGGTCTTTGCCTGCCAAAGGCTCTGGTGGTGATGCTGCTGTGGGCTCCGCGATGACCTCCGTCCTGCCGTCCTGGCGGTCTTGGTCTTGTTGTACCGATATGGAAATCTTTGCCTGATGCCTCGGGACCCGCGCTTGCGCTTGCCTCGTTAGCACCAAAGAGGAAACTGGTACACTACGCCCGCTGGCGCCCGCCTAGCCTTGGTCGTCATGGCTCATGTCACGTGAACCTCGCGAGATGCCCCTTGCATAGATATCTTTGCTCCTCGGGAACCGGCCTAGTGAGGCCACCCCCAGGGAGGTCTTGGTGCCGTCCGCCTCGCGAGGGTCTTGGGTGGTCGCTGCTGAAGCTGGGCGGTACCAGGCCGTTGGTGGAGCCACGCTTTGGGCCGCAGGCAGGCAAGTCTGGGCACCCCCGGTCCTAGAACGCCGACACCTGTGCTCTTCTTGAATGCGATGCCACCATGCACCGGCTCCTCCTTTCAGCTTGTATGCGACCAAATGAACTCTACGATCTTCCTGAACCTCCATGACCTCAAAGAAAGTCTCCACTTCATATAACCAATCTAGGCACCCTTCAATATCGACATCTCCATTAAAAGTTGGGATCTCAGCTTTCACCTTGTATGTATCTCTTGCATATGTAGGGTTGGGTACTCTCCGATATGCGTAGAGATCTGGTTCTTCAAGGGCATCATCATATTCTTCACCTTCAGAAGCTTCAACACAAATTGCCTTCTTGAAGCACGTTGAACAGCATGTTGTTGTGACGGTCTTGCTCCAAGATTACCTCTCCTTCTTCTTTGATGAATATCTTTTTCTTTAGATGAATCTCCTTCATTGGTAGTAGGGGGACACCCTTTCATATCATCTCAACCAGCTGGTCAAATCTTCGATTAAGATCTTCACGCAGCTCTTTGATTTGTTGTTTTGCAGCATCCATCCTCTTCTCCAATTGCTCGATTGCTTGCTGCAGCTTGCTCTCGAAGAAGACAACAAGAACTAGTATGGGTCATCGAGGCTCTGATACCACCTGAAGCAGCACAAAGGTTGTGGAGGAGCAACTCCACCTTGCTGCTACAATGTGTACAACACAAGTGTTGAAGGAACAACTTCAGCGTGCTGCGCTAGATATCGCTCTAGGGGCTAATGTAGGCCGATATGGCAGCAAGAGTTCAACCCAGAACTCCTAGAGCACAAGATCTACTCCAAGATCTTAGATAAGAACAACAAGTTCTATTATAGGTAGTGGGTACATAGTCTGAGCTACAAAGCAGAGGTGAGGACCTCTATTTATAGGGCTTTGGAAAACCTTCACATACTTCTACTTATAGTTGGAACACTCTAGAAAACATTATTTAGGATTCACCTCTCTACTCACAGCTACTTGTAACTAGAGAACTCTAGAAATAGCAGGAAGGGTAAAGGAAAAAAAAGAAATACTACACTAGAGTGGAAGTATCTAGAAGTAGCCAAACAGATCTGGCATCTGTTTTTTTTTCTCATCTATTGTTCCTCATCATAGTGGAATAAAGTATCTTGCATGAAAATAAGAGTTGAGCTTAGAAGATGCAAACACAAGGGGCTCGATGATGTTTTTCCTGTGGTTCGATAGTTGGCGCTATCCTACTCCACATTTTTTATTGTGTGGATATCCTACTCCACGTTGATGGAGGCTTTGAACCAAATGGTTCTAAGATTGCAAGGAGCTCAATGAACCTATTTCGCCATGGTTTGCGCCAAGAAGCCTCACTAAGGGGTAGATCTTCACGAAATAAACGATCTCCTTGCCCTCACAAACTCTTGAGTCCTTCACAAAGTAGTGGATGAAGGCTTTTAAGTGACTTCTACCCATCTACAAGGCGCATACCCTCCAAGAGTAACAAGCAAAGCAAACTCACTTGGCAGATTTCCTCGAAAGATCTTTAATCAAAGCTCTTCTCAAGAGCCTATATGATCTCTCTCTCTGATACAAGGTGTATGAGTGGTGTAAGAAGAGAGGAACACTAGGTGTAGGTGTTCAAGAAGAAGGAAAGAGTTCTTGACCTTCAAACCTTCCAAGAATCAAAGAAGTGTTCATGCAATCACCCATCACTTGTCTTCTTTTCTTTCCTAGAAGCTAGCTCTCTCTCTCTCAAGACTTGAACTTTTGGTAGTTGGAAATGAATGATATGAGTTGAATGGCTTGCCAGAATGAAGGGGTATCCAAATCTATATATAGAGCTCGACGGAAAGCTGACTGTTACTTGAAAAAGTTACTAGTCGAGAAGTGCTGGAAGAAATTCTTTGGAACTCCCGAATGTGTTTTTGGGAACCTTGGGAAAACACATCAGTCAGAAGTACCGGGATAAAAAAATAGTGGTTGCGGAAGACAAAAAGGTGGCTCCTTTCTTCGTGCATAGAACTATCTTGGAAGTACCGTGTAAACCAAATTCTCAGTAGTACTATAGCAGATAGAGCAGTTCTCACAAAGTCATAATGAGGATCATGCAGGAATGCCAGAGTCACAGCTCGGAAGTATTGGGTGGATTTGCTCGGGGGTATTGGACTTAAACTGTGACCAGATAGCAAGCTGAAAGCTGTTTGGAAGTGTCTTCTGAAAAGTTAGGGTTCGAAGTGCCGGAGGTAACATAGAGGAGTTTGGCTTGGCACCGCCGGGACAGAAATGAGCGGCGGTCCGTACTGTGGAAAACTTGGTTTGGCTCTCTAGAATTAGCACACTCAGATAAGCTCGCTAGAACCGGTTAGCAAAAACGGTGGTACCAGGGCTTTGGAAAATCTTAGAAGTAAAGTGGCTAAAGTGGATTATTTCCAGAACTTTGGCTTGGGATCTTTTGTGGGGTTCAAACCAAAGTACCTTTGCTTGTGCCCCTCTTGATAGTACAACTGTCCTACACTCAATGGACAGCCGTCGCCTCAGGCAACTTGCGCCGTAGGGTTCCCTCTGGGTTCTGGTAGTCATGAAGCGAGTGTTCAACAAACTGGTGCATTTGATACATGAAGCTAAGCTAAGAATTCGCACCTTGCTTTTGCATGACCATTGCCAAAAAATATAACATCATAAATTCATCATATGGATTGACATAACACTGACTTCTCCTTGGTCGTATGTTCCCATTTTGTTGCAGTGAATTTCCTTTGTCTATAATTCTGGTCGGAGTTGGAGATGGTCCTTGGGACATGATGAATGAATTTGATGACAACATTCCTGCTAGATCTTTTGACAATTTCCAGGTAAATACCAAAACTATATAAATACTGATACTTGCTTCCCAAGCAAAATAACGGTGATATTCGCTATCCTAGTTTGTCAACTTCACTGGAATCATGTCAAAAAAGATCAGTCAAAGCATCAAGGAGACAGAGTTTGCCCTTTCAGCACTCATGGAAATACCTTTGCAGTACAAAGCAACATTACAGCTTGGAATACTGGGGTAAGCAGAAGCAAGAGCAAGTGTAGTTACACATATTTCTTATTTACCATTCCTAGTTGGCTTGATTGTCTCATTTGTTATTTGTGTTTTTACTAACTAGGCGTCGACTTGCAAAGTCTCCAGAGCGAGTTCCACTTCCTCCTCCTTTTGCAAGTTATAATACCACCTCAAGAGCAGCACCATCTTGGGAAAATAACTTCCGAAGTGTGCCTTCTAATCTTAGGGAGGAGGCAACTTTAGATTCAACAATCACACCGTCAGTTACACCCCCACCAGCTGCAGATGCTAGAGCATCAGAACTCCAAGTAAGACAAATACTGCCCTGCTATATCGTAGGATCTTGATAAATTGATCCAGACTAGAAAAAGACGAGAATCTCATGGGCAGGCACACACAATATAGTAAAATAGTGTATGTAGTAATTTTTGGAACAATGTTACAGCATAGTGACTTGAATAGTAAAAAGTTGTTCCAAAATTGCTACTTTTTGTGCACAATTTTACTATACTACGTATAGTTTTTCTAGCGGTGTAGGATAACTATTCTACACTCGAGCTTAGCATAGCACTATTATGTGCGCGTGCATGCACGTGTGTGCGCGCGCGCATGCTGAGCAATTAGCCAACTACCAAAAATAAGGGGATCCGAAATTCGTAGGAGACATATAGTTTGGTTTTTCATGTGACTTGTTTGGCACCGTCAAATAAAATACTACCATATTTTTCATGGTGAACGGTAGTGGTATAATGATATCAGTATATGAATATGAAAAGGAAGTATATATGTTGAAAGTGGTTTCCTTCTTTAGGATGATTAAACAATTATTGATACTGCTAGTGTCACACCCTAGCTAGTCATGCATCAGATTGTGTGCATTATGTTTAAATTTTCATTTAAATTGAAATGGGGATTTGTGAAACCCTCAGAATCATTTTTGAAAAGATCCAAATAAAAATTTCTCCAAAAAGGTCCAAGAAAATGCTCATGTTGCTCTCTGAAAATATTGGACAGAGATAAAAATCAAACCAATATTTTTAAGAGCTCATAGGTATTTATTTTGGGCATTTGGAATTAATGCATAAATATTTGCATTGGAAATATATTAGTTATATATATTAATATATGTCCAAATATTATGCCAATTATAAAGGAGCTCTGGAATAATATATCTAGCTCCTGCAAAAATTGGCATAAGGTAAATAAATGATTTAATATATTTTTTTAAATCAAAACAAATGTCAGAAATTAGAAAACAGAAATAATTAAAAAAGGGAGAAGCTTACCTGGGCTCCTCCCTGTGCAGCCCAGCCAGCTGGCCGGCCCAGCCAGCAGGCGGCCCAGCCCGCCTCCCTCCTCTGTCGTCTTCGTCCTCGACAGAGGGAGGGGAGTGTGGCCGGCGCGCGCGCGCCACCGCGCCACGCCACCTGCTCGCCTGCCTGCCTGCCCTCCCCTCCTCGCTCGATGCCCCGGACGACGCCACGCCCTCTCCCTGCTCTCTCTCACTCTCCCTCAGTTCCTCCCTCCTCTCCCTCGCTCTCTCTCACACGGCCGAACACCACCATCGCCGCCGTTCGCCATAGCAGCCGTCACCGGCCACCCCTCGCTCCCCCGACTAGCCCAGAGGCTCCGCCGCGACCCCCTCTTCCTCCCCACCGCTCCACGGGTCTCCGGAAGCCCTGCATCGCCGCCTACGTCGCCGTTCCCCCCCCTCGGCCACCGGAGGTCATCGCCGTCGATTCGCTGCACTCCGGCCGTCCCCGAGCCCGCTAACCATCCCTGCAGCTCCGCGGTGAGCCACTGATTCGATTCCCCCTTGCCCCGTCGTCCCTAGCCTCCTGTAGCTGCCGCCCCCTTGAGCTCCGAAGCTCGACGCCGCCGGCGATGTCGCCGTCGTGGCCACGGTCACCGTAGCGTCCAACCGAGCACACCCACGTCCTCACCGCACCGCGTAGAAGCCGTAGGTGCCAACCCCGCATCCCCGCAGACGTTGTAGCCTCGACCCCGAGCTCAACCGAGCTCCGGCAGCCGCCACGGTCGTCGCCGTCGACGGTACAGGCCACCTCAGGCACGGCCACCACCACCGTTCGACGCGCGGGAGCAAGGGCTCTCCAACGAGCCCAAGCACGGCCTCGCCCGTGCCCCGTAGCGCGTTTCCGCATCGCGCCACCGTCTCGGGCCTCGCTGGCGTCATGTCGCCGGTGGGTTTGACCCACCTTGACCACGGCAGGACCCCCCCAGAGTCACTGACGCGTGGGCCCCGTCGGCCAGGTGGTCAGATTAGTGCTAATCACTGTTAGTCAACCCCCCTGACACTGACCAGTGGGCCCCAGCGCCACTAATTACTAATTAGGATTAAATTAACCCTGTTAAACCCCGCTGTCACTGACGTGTGGACCCCACACGTCAGGTTTGACCTCAGCCAGCCGCAGTTGACCACTGACGTCATGCTGGCGCAATAATTATATTTCTGGATTTAAATTTAATCAGGAAATTCCAGAATATTATTTAAACTTCAAAAATTCATAACTTTTATTCTGTAACTCCAAATCAGACAAATTATATATGAAAAATGATCAGAAAAATCCAATCTATCCATCTGTACTATTTTCATGCATGATCAAACAAGTTAAATTGATGTTTTAAGCAGAACAAGGAAAAGCACTTTAAAAGGCCATGTTTGAGTTTGAAATTTGAATCTTTGATTCAAATTTGTTCAAACCCTTCTGGTTTTTAGTTGCATTAGCCCAACACACTCATATTGCCATGTTTCATGCATGCATCATATTGTTGCACATTGTTTGGTGATGGTTGTGTATCGGTGTCCTTTACGACAGGTTCTGCCTCCGAGGAGTACCGTGATTACCCTAACGAAGAACCGTATCCGTGCATCGAACCATCAGGCAAGCAACCAACCATTTGATCATATCGATACAATCCCATGTTCTCGCTCCTGCTCTCTTTTACTGCATTAAGACAACGCGTTTCAAACTGCTGTGTGCTGCGGTAGTTGAGCCCATTTCCTCTGCATGACCTATCATTGCCACAGTAACTAGCTGAAACCCACTAGCATGTGTAGGAGTTGATTGAGCCATATGTATGTGTTGTTCCTACCTTGCTATGCCTGCTATGCTTAGAGTCGTGTCAGGTCTGGTTCATCTGGGTGATGGGCTAGAGTGAAATGATTATGTCGGTAATGAGAGTGGTGTGGTGAACACGATTTGGTAAAGGTATCGATGAGAGGCCATGTAGGAGTACATGGTGGGTTGTTTCATTGAAGCCGACCTTAAGCACTGAGATCTGTATGTGTGATTTAAGATACAGTTACTACCATGCATTGGGCCCTGAGATATGACCCCGCTCGACTTCTTATTCACCCTAGCTCTCTGTCCAGGAGTTGCAAGTAGTTTCTGGTGTTTGTAGCCTACTGGAGGCCGTGGACAGCGCTGACCGTAGGGGTGGGCTGTGATGCGGTAGGTACGTGGCCGGGTGTACCGAATACCCGTTAGGTATCTCGGGAACCCTGTTCACATCGTTCGGGGCCGTATGGGAAACCTCGGCCGGACTCCCTGCGGATGGAACCTGAATAGGCGATAAACCTGGACTAGAGGCTTAAGTGTTTAGGTAGGTCGTGGTCTACACCCACGTCGGCTTTCGCTTGAAGTCTGCCGAGCACATATCGTGTGCAGACGCTAAGTGGTGGAAACATGTATGAAGAAGTACACCCCTACAGGGTTATCATGATCTATTCGAATAGCCGCGTCCGCGGTAAAGGACTACTTGGTTGCCTATACAGTTCATAGACAAGTAAATGGAAACTACTAAAATTCTCAAGATAAGTGTGAGTGCCGAGGATGGCTCTTCCGTAGGAAGACGGAGGCGGATCCTCGGTAGTGTATTGAAGTGGTGAGTAGTGGACTCGTGTGCGCAAAACCATTTCAAGTTGGAGTATCGTAGGATAGTCTAGCCAGGAGTCAAAGCTGGCTTGCTGCAATAACTCCACCAACCCTTCTTGATAATATGCATGTATGTAGGATCTGATGTAAGTCTTGCTGAGTACCTTTGTACTCATGTTGCTATAATTTACATTTTACAGAAGACGCTGCAACCCCTTCTGATGGGTTCTATGTAGACGTTGACATCAACGAGTAGGCTAAAGGCCCAGGTGGTGACCCTGAGCTTGTGAAGGACCATGTAGTATAGCTAGGCTTTCCAAGCCTCTTTTATTTTACTAGTTGTCTGTACTCAGACAAGTTACTTCCGCTGCTGGTTTGTATGACTGTATGACTTGTATGTTGGGTCGTGAGACCCGTACCTTTGTGTATGTTATGTATGGCTCCCTGAGCCTTAAATAAAGTACTTGTGTCGTAGAGTCATGTTGTGATGCTTCGTTGTATTTGCACATATCGAGCATATTGTGTGTATGATTGAAATGCTTGGTATGTGTGGGATCTGACTACCTAGTTGTTTATCTTTAGTAGCCTCTCTTACCGGGAAATGTCTCCTAGTGTTACCGCTGAGCCATGGTAGCTTGCTACTGCTCTGGAACACTTAGGTTGGCCGGCATGTGTCCTTCTTCGTTCCTGTGTCTGTCCCTTCGGGGAAATGTCATGCTTTGAGTACCGGAGTCCTGTTAGCCCGCTACAGCCCGGTTTACCGGAGTCCTGCTAGCCCAGTGCTACAGCCCGGACCCACTTGCTGATGACCGACACGTTCGAAGCTGGGTCATGGATGCCTGTCCTTGTAAGTCTGTGCCACTTTGGGTTTACGACTAGTCATGTCAGCCCGGGCTCCTTATCATATGGATGCTAGCGACACCATCATATACGTGAGCCAAGAGGCGCAAACGGTCCCGGGCAAAGGTAAGGCGACACCCGTGGGGATACCGTGCGTGAGGCCGCAAAGTGATATGAGGTGTTACCGGCTAGATCGATGTGACATCGAGTCGGGGTCCTGACAGCTAGCCACTATCCAAACAAGTATATACTTGTTAGCAATTGAAAGGTACTACCTCTGTAACTAAATACTCCCTCCGTCCCATAATATAAGAGTGTCTTTGACACGGCGCTAGTGTCAAAGACACTCTTATATTATGGGACAGAGGGAGTATAAGACATATTTAGTTACAGAGGTTACTTGAACTGCAAAAAGTCTTATATTTAGTTACAGAGGTAGTATATACTACTCCCTCCGTAAACTAATATAAGAGCATTTAGAATACTAAAGTACTGATCTAAACGCTCTTATATTAGTTTACAGAGGGAGTACTTGTCACTGTACTGCTTAATTACAACCAAAAAGAGTATATATTGTTTGCCAATAAAATAGGTATATACTACCGCATGCTAAATTAAGGGGTATGTAGTGTTTAAATCGAAAACAAATATATACTGCTTGGCAATTAAAGGAAGATATACTCTTTTCTTTCAAAGCAGTATATAGCTTATTTTTCACGATGGAGTAAATAACTTTTTTTCTACCCAATGGAGTATGTCAAGCTAAAGTACGCATATATGTCCATAAAGAACAGGAGTATATACGTTTAGTTGATGGAGATGACTCGTGATCTAGGCTACTGGCTGAGGGGATCAATTAGCCAAGAAACTACTAAACCAACCCTTGAGATGTTATCAGCCTTTCAAAGACAAGCTGACATGGCCACCACTAAGGTCTATTGCTGCAAGAAATTGAAAAATCCAGCAAAAACAAGGTAACAAGCAATCTTAAAAAAAGATAAGTCCACTTCACAACCCTCAACTTACCAAATAGTTTAACTTGCGGCCCTTGACTCCAAAACCGGTTAGAACACACTCCTAATATACTGTTTACTTTACTCCCTTGAGACGATTGGGACATGGTTTTGTGTGGCGTGGCACATTCAAATTGACCCCTCAAAGCTGAGGTGGCATCCGAGTTAGCAAAAATTATAAAACAAAATTGCTTGTCCCATTTGTCATAGCACATCTTCTTCCTCATCTTTCTCTTTCCTTTCTCTGTTCCTATATCCCGAGCCCAAGCGAGCAGTTGCGGTGTGCTCCCGGCCGTACCCGCCCACCAGTGTGTTCCTGTGCTCATGAAGATCTAGCACGTCTGCTAGCATCTGCATAATAACGATCCTAGGTCATCACTTCCACACAACGTACACTTTGCAACGTGCACGCCATGTAGGTGGAATGCTCGGTATCATAACATAATTCCATACAAATCCGTAGCCATGCGTAGGCGAGGAAAAACGAAAAAAGTCCCATAACGATTAGGTCCGCGATCAGCCAGCTGCAACATTGACCATATCCGCACCAACCATCTAATGACAGCACACGGACGATGAGGTTCTTCAACATCAACTCCTTCGGGAAGGAAGCGACGCTCAAATGTCGCCATCACCAGATCCAACCACCTAGGCCAGAATCTAGGTTTTCAGCCTGAATAATCAGACCGAGCATATCCAAGTAATGCCTTCAACAAGGTAACGACGTAGAAAAAACATCGCTATTGCCAGGTATAACCAGCTCGGGTCAGACCTAGGCTTTCACCCCGGAGCTCGAGTAGCACCACCATCGAAGTCACTCATGTGTCGTCGCCACCGCTTTTTCGTGATTCCAACAACTACATGTGATGTGCGATCGCCACTGCTGCACAACCATCCCTCTGTGTCAAGCCGTCGTCCATAGTTTGCATCTCACCGCCGAAGTCCACCACCAGATATGGAGAGATGAACCCTCCTTTCGGTGACCACCGCTGTTGTGAAGCCGCAGGAGGTCGCTCCACCATAGTTTGTAGCCACCACCACTTGGCCGACCGGTTCTAGATCACCACCATCAAGATGTCCAGATTTGAATCAGGGCAACCATGCTGGTTTGACCAAGGACGACGCCAAGCTGTGGTTGAAGGGAAAATCCCAACTCATCACCACCATCTATATGTGTGCACAAGTCTCTCAATTCATCATCATACACCGCAATGGTTGAAGGGAAAACCCCATGCTCAACCATCTTCTCACCGTCGCCACGGGTGAAGGCTGAAGATGGCACATCATCACTCGCCTTCATGACTGAAGGGAACATCCCATGCTCGGTCATCTCACTATCGCCTCTAAAGATGGGAGCATCATTCTTGCTTGTCACCATGTCACTCGCCTCCAAATCTTGGTCCTTGAGAGGCTCCGTAGTCGTAGTCGTCACCGTGCCGTTTTCAAAGAGTCATGGTAGACTCGGCATCGTCAATGCCACGAGGAGGGATGGCGGTGAAGTCAAACTTTGGAGCGTAGTCTTGGAGCTCGTCGGGCTTGGACATCTTTGTAGTACTACCCTCATGCTCGTCGCCTTGGAGTTCGGTTGTCGCGAAGTGTGCATGGGGTCGAGAAGCCTTGGCCTTAAGTTCTTGTTCCGCATTGAGAGCACCAACGTAGAGGTCATCAAGAGACTCGTATTTATTGAAGAAGATAGTCTTAGCGATGTCGTTGTTCAATCCCGTGGTAAAGTGGCACTTCATCCAAATGGGGTTGTCTGCACCAGCTTGTCTTAATGCTTTCTTCATCTCCATGAAGTACCCGTCGAGGGACTTGGAACCTTGTTTGGCGTTCTCCAATTGGCGTCGAAGATTTTCCGTGTAGGTGGAAGGCACAAACTCTCGCCGCATAGCCGTCTTCGTTTTGGGCCAACTCATGTGGAAGTTCTTCGAAAGTGTGTGAAGCCAACATGCTGACGCGTGGTCGTGGAAGTTTCTTGTGGCGCACTTCACTTGATCTTCGGAGGGGGACTTGATGTAGTTTGAGGTTCATAGAAAGGAATCTCATGGTCGGTGTCGAGGTTGTAGTAGCTCGTGGAAGTGGGACCTGAGCTTAGGGAGCTTCTCTTGTTCATATTCTTGAGGTACTTGTCAGCGAAGATGCCGCACATCCAAAGGCGAAGATGCCAAGGGAGGTGGTGAAGTCCTCGAGCTCTCAAACTTCATGAACTTGTCAATGATGGTGTCGATGCCGATGTGACCTTGCCGGAGATGGTAGCTCGTGAGCATGTCACTTGAGTGTCTTCTTGAAGATGACCTCTTGCCGTTGTTGATGAGGACATTGAGCTCCTCCAGTTGAGCGTCTATCTTGGCGTCGACGTAGCTCTTGTTGACATCAAACTCGTCGTCGTGGATGTAGACTGAAGGAGATGTGTCGTCCCTATACATCATGGCATTAGTGCAAGTAGTAAGTGCTAAAAGGGAAAGAACAATATCAAGCTACGTTCTCGGCTCTATGGATGACAAGGATAGAAGATTGTTCAATGTGTACTAATAGAGCAAATATGGTGTTGATAAGTGTTCCCGGACGCACCCACAACTCACATCAAGGCTATATGTGGAGCTCGGTAAGGGATTAGTGGCACAAAATATCAAGCAAATTGAAGTTCAAGATATTGTAAATGTTGAAATCAATCCAAAGGACTCAAAATGGAAAGCAAGTGATCACTGAAGTAGAGGAGGGCAACAAAGAACATGTGCGGTGGGATAATGGGGCTTGTGCAACTATAGAGATGAGCAATACAAAATTGCCTAACAAAGACTAAGCTCATGTTGCACAAACACAAGGAGAGACACCAGCTTGATAGCACATTTGGGCACGATTGACCACTGCCCAATCCTATATATGCAACCAAAACGTTTTCCTATTCCATGTACCCTTTTCACAAGTTTATCTTTTCATGCCCCACTTTTGCTTATAAGTTTTGATCTTTTCCTTGCTTAGAAGCTTTTTTTTTCTCTGCCACTATTCTTATTGAGCCTCAACTAAATATGCATGGGAGTAAGCTTTCACACTATATGATATACCAAATGATGTAACAATATGATATCGTATCACTATGGTGCTCAAGTTTTCGTGTAGCATGACAATACTTGGATAGCTAGTCTCAATAGTTATGAAGGTGATCGCAAAGATGGTGGGGCTATCAAAGTGTAGTGGCAAGGAAAGGTTTGTGGCGAAATGGATACCTTCGCCAAACTTAACTTTTCACTTAGTTGGAGGTAACCGGCCTTGCTTTCGGTAGGTGGTCTCAAAGGATGGATGATCATCGCCGCTTGCGAAAGCTTATGGTTGATGTAGTCGATGGAACGGTACACGGTGTTGTTGTTGAAGCAACCATCCCTAAGTTGCCGGAACAACTTGGAGACTTCAACGACCACAAATGCAATGGGGACGAAAAAGGGTCAAAATTGCAGAAGTTATGGTGGTTTTGGTAGAGGGCCTAGGCGAAGATGCCAAAATTTGAAAAATTTGATGGACTCAAATGGTGTGGGAACTAATTTTGGTGGATGTCAATAACTACAAAACGAGCTAAAGAACATCAAAATCAGAGTCCAGATGAATTAGTTAGGGCCAAAACAAATGGCAACCAAAGTTGGTTTTCCAGGTATCGGATGTCCGGTCATCCGAGAAGCACCGGATGTCCGACTGATGGGACGCGATTTCTATACGGGCACCGGATTTCCGGTGGGGATACCGGTTGTCCGGTGGCGGATGTCCATCACGGGATTTGGGCTCCGGATCGCGATTTTGGGGATTTTGGGGGCAAAATTGGTGGGAAAAAAAAGACAAATTGGGCCTAGAGAACGCCAAGGGAGGTAGATCCATTTGCCAAACACTAGATCCACAGAAAGAAATCAACAAAAACTCGGTAGAACATCAAATCACAAGAAAAAATTGGGGCTATTTTTGTTGGATTTTTTTTGAAATTGGGCAAGAGCACAATAAACTAAGGGTAGAAAGTGAGGGGCAAGGCTCCAAATTTGTGGCAACCTTGCTTTGATACCAAGATGATGTAGGGTAGAGACCCTATGTGGCTCAATCTTCATAAATTGGAGCTGGATTTGAGAAAACCCATGAAGAACACAAGGGAAATCACACAAATCAACACACATAGATGCAAATGAAGATACACATAGATAGACCCATGTTTCAAATCATCCAAGGAGTGAGATGGAATAAGATAGTTTTTCCCCAAGTCCTAGGACAAGGAGGGCTTGATGCTCTTATGAAGCCTTTCTTCTCCAAATGTGGAGGCCTTGATAATCCACTAGGGATTCTTCTCCAAAGGAGGCCTTGTGTTTCAATGGAGTCTCTCTCTCAAGAGGAATTGCATAAGGGAAGATACATGAGCTAAGCTCTATGATTTGGTTTCTATTCTTAAGGGGAGGTCTATTTATAGTATAAGCCACGGAAGGGTTGGTGGGAGAGAGATATGAGGCCAAGTTGCCTGTCTTGCACACATGCAGGTACCAGATGTCCGGTGGCTCGCGAGGCACCGGATGTTAGGTACGCATCGGAAATTCGTTGATTTCCTCTTGGGTGGCACCGGATTTCCGGTGGTACCGGATGTCCGGTTGGTCGGGAAGCACCAGATGTCTGGTACGCCATTGGATGTCCGGCCGCTGGAGCACTGACTTAATCTTGGCTGCTCCTAGACGGTCCTTTTCATCAGGTTGTACCCCCGCAACTCCATCTTCCGTCTTCGCCTCCACGCTTCCTTCGCGGATGGTGTAGTTGTTCCTTTGTGCTTGCACTCCTCGTCATCCGTGAAGCTCCGATCAAATCTATACGTGCACGATAGATTATTAAGTAGTATACCATCCAAGAAGGAATCAAGTGAACACGTATAAAGGAGATGATTCATCTTTATATGTATGAATTAGATGTCGCACGTGTCACTTGGCAAAAGTGCTCTTAACATGGTGATGTTCTTAGGATGCTCCGCATCAAGTGTCCTACTAGGACCCGACTCCATACTCTGTCTACCCATGGTATGACTCCAAGTTTAACTGTAACCTACATTGTACACAATATTCGATACAACTCCAATAAGCACTTGGTACTTTGTTCAAGTCGAGCCCGCTTTCCTATGCAAGCAAGTTTTCCCTGGCCCATTGTGGTTAGGTAGTGTAGAAAAGCAAGCTATATTCTTAGTTTTGAATGGCGAGCATAGCACGGTAATTTTTTCTTCTCAATATCCAAGCATGCTATTTTTCATTAGTGAAGATTCTACTCCAACATCTGTATATTCTGTTTTACAGTAAATTGTTTTCATTGAAATCGTACAAACATATGTATATTCAGATCTACTTTTCGATATCTGCAGTTCTGCCCAGTTTGCCTTGCCAAACCCCGGGACATGGCATTTGGTTGTGGTCATCAGGTGAGACTTCATAACACTGGTAGGCCTAGACTGTTTAGCTAGACTGCACTTTCCCAGCCCTAAGTTTTTCTTTGCATGCAGACTTGTTCAGGGTGTGGACCGCAGGTCGCGGATTGCCCCATCTGTCGAAGGCCAATTGATACAAGAGTAAAACTATACTAACAGCCTCACATGCCTAACTAGATTTGACTGAACTACGCTGGAGTGTTGGAAGTAGAATTCATGGAAAAGAAAAAGAACTCCGTTTGTACTGTAGCTTGTACCATAAAGAAAATGAATAACAGTTGTGTACTGCTCTGTGTTATATCTCATCAGTTCAGTACCTAGAATGGGCACTACTGCAAAACTCGTAACCGGTGGCAGGCGAAAAATAGCTACTAGTGATGGGGAAGCGGCGATTTGGTGCCTGAGCGCAGCTGCACCTGAAATCACGCCCGTCCATCGCTGGCTCGGGATGCGAACAATTCCAACCGGCGCGTCCTTCGCGAGCTGCAGTAATTTGGGTGTATTCATAGTTTTAGGTGTACGCGTGAATACTGTATGAAATAGTGGCACATGCGTGGGGCCAAAGCGTAGGGAAGGGACGGAGGCTATAAGAGAAGTTAAAATGTGATAAAATGTTGAAACTTTGACCCCACCCTACGCATCTGATGTATTCCCCGACCGTATGTCACGAAAATCACTCCATCAGTGGCGCATTTAATTGCAACGACACGTCGCACTGTGGATGCGGATCAGCTGGTCGCTGGATGGCTCACCAATGTTACCAATGTTTCTGTGCCCGGCTGGGCCGTGCATGCCATCCGTCCGAGAAACGGCGATGACACCAGACTCCATAAATATCTCTCTACCCACGCCACCTTTCCACCAGGCCAACCGGTTAATCAGGGATATACTTTCTTTGTTTATAAGGCTGGTTGTAATGGGAAGTATCATATAGTAGTATCATACATATGATATTAGTATATGATACTACCTCACTAATGTATAGTATTATATATTAATATAATGTAGTACTTTATTTATTGTCACGCATGACACAAAGTAGTATAGCATTTATTATGATACGGTATTATAATATGATACTCCATCATTTTTTCTTCATTTAATGTTATGACACCTCATTAAAATTGTCTAATTGGCATGTATGATATTAGTTATGATACTACTATTACGACCAGCCTAAGGACATCTACAACGCGGCCGCTTAGCCGAGGCGCCAGGATTGATTTCCTGGCTATTTTGCCTGGTTCCCGCCCGTGACCAGGATTTGGCCTTGCATCGATGCTAGGTTTGCCGCCGGGCGCTCCAGCTCTTTCGCGTTTAATTTGTTAATCACCAGGCGTCTACAGATCTCTATTAGCGTTGGACACACACGCTCTTACATAGATGCTATGTTTAAAATCCCATTTTCCCATCTGCTCAAGCGCCTAAACAAGCATCGCCCATTGGAGATGCCCTAAATATAAGTTTTTTAGACATTTTAAATGGAGTACAACGTATAGATATATGTAAACATATTTTAGAGTGTAGATTCACTCATTTTGCTTCGTATGTAGTTATTTGTTGAAATCTTTAAAAAGACTTATATTTGGGAACGGAGGAAGTATACGCATGCGTCATGACTAATATATTCGTTCATTCCAGCTTATCATCAAATCATCATGTATCTCAGTTCTCAGACCCTATTTCGATTAATGTTTCCGTACCATTAAATGGGGAAACCCGGACGCAACCCTTCTTGTGCAACTTGTGTAAGCTTTCACTCAAGTTTGTAGGATCTATGATAAACATATTTTCCACATTTATGTTCCAACTTAGGTTTCGTTTATTTGTGAATATACGGGTTGCCGACACATGAAATGGTCACCAAATCATTCATATTAGCACTGCATCCGAATTGCTGATGCCTAGAAGACGAACTCCTTCCTTTTTTGTCAAAGGAACTTTTGATGTATAGACACGCAAAAACCTCACACATCAACTATCACCAAGTTCAATTTGAAGTTCACTTATCATCCACCAAGCCACCTCCCAATTCTACCTCCCAGGGCACAGGAACTTAATTGCATCTGCGAGCACATGTACTAGGAACTATACATGATTGCTATCACAAATTGGTACCGACACATGGTTTATCTGGACGGCACATGATCACAGTCATTTAGCACACGCATGCGAACAATACATCAAATTAAGTACTTCCTCCGTTTGAAAAAACTTTTCCCAAGCTTGTTCCTCAAATATAGATAGTGCAAACTTAATCCTTACAAGGTACAACATAACATTACTCTGGCTGGGGATTTTGTGATGCAAAATGGCACGCCAACTCACTCGTGTCAAACTAGGGTTTATCACAAGCACAACCAAAAGATCTTGCCTGACTGCACTCACTCTCAGAGTACCACCGCCTTCACTTCAGTCAATGATTATGTCGTATAAGAGCTCCGGAATATCCCCATTGTTTCCCTTCATGGTCACTATTTCGTAGGCAAACTTCTTGCGCAAGTGCTCGATCTGAGCCTGCAATCAGTGATACAATCGCAAAACGCTTAGCTGCTTTCGTCTGTGAATAATATCAGGATGTTGTAGTCAACAATTGTGTATCAGGTTCCAAACCTGGGTTAGTGTTGATTGTAGGTAGTCTGATGAACTCGACGAAGTAGTGCAAGATATACACTCCACTGTCTTCCATGCGATTAAACATGACATTAACTAGACTTGTAGGAAGTCAACCTTCAAAGCAAAACCAGTATGTGCATGACAAATGAGTGGGTACACACCTGCTGCATTGCCCATGTTGAGCCACCAACGGATACACAAACGACAATCCACGGGTCTCAACCAAGCCAGCACCGAACATGTCGTTGAATAAGGTGCAGAACCTATGTTGGAACTTCTTGGCTAAAGCCTCATGTTTGATTTTCATCTCACACGCCGGATCGGTCTCAGTCATTTCATGGACTATCATAATTTTCTTCTCCGTATCCAGAATGTACAATGACCAACAATCCATGAAATTCACCAGGAACATGAACTGAAAGTTTATTTTTTGAATAACATACATACAAAATCAGACGGACAGAAATATGGAAAAAGTAGCGATAGTGTTTTGGTAGCCAACACTTTTACCTTCTTCACCCAATCAATTCTACATCCCATCACATCAGGGTGCATCATAGTGCTAATGTAATCCCAGTTAGTTTCACCAGCATCCCTGCAAAGCTCTTCCTGCAATGGAAATGCAAGAAAAATTAGCTTCATATGATCCACCGGGTGCACAGAAACACAATTATAATTAAGCTGTGCACTTGCAACAAAACATGGATCAAAAATCCCCCTAAACCTATCAAGCCACCCGCAGTAGATTATCTTCTCCTTCTGACTAAGCATGTGATGGATGCACCTCCACAAATTCAATGTCAACTCCCCACCGAGAGTGAGCTCATCCTTCAGGTCCTGACCAGATGCCACCGCCAATATGGGATGGAAGTGCTTAAACCATTTCCCGTGAGGTAGTAGTTAAGTCTTTTTCCATAAATATCAGGAAAAAAAGAAAAAATCCATGGGTGGCAGTAGTGCTTACTTCTTGAGAACGTCCTCTCCACATTCCATCATGTTCACATTGAACTTGAAAATGTCATGATCAGACGACTGTATGTATAGCCCAATCGATGGAGGGTACTTGTCACCCCATCCACTCCTTGATGTATTATCTGCATCTGCACTTGCAGCTTCTGCACTGGAACCATGTGCTTTACCGTAGTTAATCACCGTGTTGCCATCTTCATCATCAACTACTATAGCTGTATCCAATATGCCAATTAACCGACACATAACCGTTTTGCTGTTCAGCTTCCATTGTGCAGCTTCCTGGCTTTCGTTCTCTAGCTCATCCCAAATGATGCCATCCTCACCATCTCCCGTGCGTGTGGGGTTGATGCTCCCGTGTCCTTGACCTCCATGTGCTGCACCAGCTAAAGTAACAGAATAAGCCAATCTTTCAACCAGCAATCTTGGTATCATAGTGATAAACACAAACATTACGTGGAAATTGACGTGTTGTAATCACTTACATCAGATGTATCCTTCCACTCCAAGTCTTGATAGGAGACCCCTCACTTGCTCGAATATACCTGGACGACATCACACAATCTTAGTTACTGCATCTAAAACAAAACAAGCATGAACACATATCAATTGAGAACCTTTGAAGAGTTTTGGATTGTCTATGGCTTGGTCGACTACAGCAAGTGCTACTGCAGCTAAGCTGTCTACACGTTCTTTCCTTTCCTCATCTTCTGGTTCACTGGAACTTCCGCCTACACCATTTTTTGATGCACCTCCTCTCGCTGATATAATTCCATGAGTACATGCGTCTGAAAAACAGAGAAAAGAAAACATGCTTTCATAATTATATAGCTACTGCTTTTGTGCCATCTCTGGGAAATACTTTATACAATGGAACGAAAACTGCTTCAGGTTCTTGCTCACATTCAAGGTCTGATTTTTCTCAGTTTTAGTACAGTGATTTCAGAGGCATCCTTGTAGAGTAATGTCAGCGGTTCTGCTAGCTAAACGACTAACAAAGTAAACTACCTTTCTGAAGAAAAATGCATTCTGCATATAAGTTGCATATGTAGTTGAAGAAAAAGAAGTTGCCAATTGGGGAGGAATTTGCTTCACACCTTTTAGTCCAGCCAGGGGCCTCTGGATTGACTCTATCGATCGACTGAGCCAAACTCATTGGAGATGCATCATCGCGACGGCGCACACCTTCCCGCGCTCTACCTGTGCGATCTTCTTTGACCTTTTCAGTGACACCAAACCCAGTATTTCAATCAGCAGGAACAACAAGACCGAGTACGTTGTCTGAAAGGAAAACGAGGGGAACCAGATCTAGCTGCTCAAGGTTGTCAGCGAACTCCTCTCTCAGCGGGAATATGAAAAAACCACGGCAATCACCGGCATAAAGGCCACCAGTTCATTAGGGTTCTCCTGCGTGTGATGCAACTTTGCCCAGGAAATCCCAAAAGCTTTTTCATAGATCTGCGCGGACTAACCTGCCGACGGCGTCTAGCAGGAACACCATACCAGATCCGTCCATCCCCTCATCGTCGACGCCAAAGAACGAGCGCCGCCGCAAGGAACAGCCGCAACAC